AAGTACGAGGTTAGGGACAAAACCGCATGGGCAATCAAAAGGGGCTTCAGGGCTCTGGGGTGACAGGTTAAGGGATCAGGAGCACAAGTAGTGTTCTCCTCTATCCCTCCAGTTGCAGGGGAAGATGAGGGAAAAAACAGGAGGAGTCAACAGATCAATACTTGACTCTAAGCCTGGTGTCACACTCAAAATTTGGGGTTCTTTGATTATGGGTCAGTTTACATGGCACCAGGCCTGCAAGCATGTCGAGGGAGGTGATTCTCCCCTTGACTCCGCTGTTGTGAGACCCCACCTGGAGTCCTGCATCCAGCTCTGGAGCCCTCAGCACAAGGGAGACATGGATGTGTTGGAGCAGGTCCAGAGGAGGGCCATGAAGATGATCAGAGGGCTCGAGCACCTATCCTGTGGGGACAGACTAGGAGAGTTGGGGCTGTTCAGCCTGGAGAAGAGAAGGCTCCGGGGTGACCTTAGAGCAGCCTTCCAGTACCTGAAGGTGGCCTGCAGGAAGGATGGAGAGGGACTTTTCACAAGGGTGTGTAGTGACAGGACAAGAGGGAATGGCTGTAAACAAAAAAAGGGCAGATTTAGATTAGATATTAGGAAGAAATTCTTCACCATGAGGGTGGTGAAACACTGGAACAGGTTGCGCAGAGAAGCTGTGGCTGCCTCATCCCTGGCAGTGTTCAAGGCCAGGTTGGATGGAGCTCTGAGCACCCTGGTCTAGTGGAAGATGTCCCTGCTCATGGCAGGGGGGTTGGAACTAGATGATTTTTGAGGTCCCTTCCAACCCTTACCATTCTATGATTCTATGAACAGTGTTTGATGTCTTCCTAAGCTTTGTTGGAGGTGACAGGGGAAAAATTGATTCCTGCTCATTCTCTCCATCTTCTTCATGATTGTATAAATCTCTGAAGTACTTCCTCTGTTGTTCTTTCTGTCTTTCTGTCTTTCTGTCTTTCTGTCTGTCTGTGTCTTTCTGTCTGTCTTTCTGTCTTTCTGTCTTATCAAATTTTAAGAATCCACTGGGATTAGTGGGATTAGTTAGTTCTTCTTTGAGTGGAGTCCATTGCTCACTGCAGCTGGTTATTACTAACCCATCATGACTTGGAAAAGGTTTTGGCAGGTGGGAGAACAGAAGGTGAGAGAGTTTGTAACTGTTGGGAGGATCAGAACTGCACGTAGTATGTGTGTGCTTCATGTTATTACAGAGTGGTGTGATGAATCTTTGAGTTTCATTCTCTGTTCCACCTCTACTAAATCCTATCATTTGCTTCTTTTCAGCTGCTTTTTGCCTGATGTTTCCGTTAAACTGTTCTGTCTGCAGATTGACTAGATCAGCTCACAGCTTATCGCTGTATATGTAAAGTCAGAACTGTGTGTCAATTTGCATTTATGAAGACTGAAATTCACTTTGTTGGTGGTTTTAAACTTTACTCGGGGTTGTGACATTCTTTCACAACTTTTGGTGACTACGTTTAGTACACTGCATTATCATCAGTAAATTAATCATCAGTAAGTTTTGTCACTTCATTAATCCTACCCTTTCATAGATGAGGTATAAATATACCTCAGAGAATACAGAACCCAGCATAGAATCCTGCTGGGTTCCACTGGTCACCTAGTTCAATTCAGAAAAATGAGCAGCCATTTCTGTTTCTTTCCTAGTTTTTGGCTGTTTATCCATAAGAGGATCTCCCTTCTCATCTCACAGCAGCATGGTTTCTTTAGGACTTTTTGGTCAACAGTCTTTGGAAATCAAATAGCTTATATTAACTCCTTGGATTTATGGTGAGATTATATTGACTCCTGCAAAGAATTCCAGTAGACTTCTGAGTCACGATTTCCCTCTGTAGAGGAGACTCTTTTTCCAGTACGTTAGATGTAGATTAGGGAAGGCAAGGTGGGGGGAATTACACTTGTCTCTGAGCAAAATACGAGTGGGTGGGTGTGTTGTACCATCTCTAAGAGAGGTACGTCTTTAACAGAGACATTTTTTATATCTGCTGTAGGGTGTTAAATGAGTGAAGTTGTTGGCCATGCTTATCATGATAGAAGAATCTTTCATGTAGCCTGGAACCAGCCTGGGAAGCACTCAGTGTTGCTTAGTCACTATTCACTCAAAAAACAGAGCAGAAGGCAGGCTTCATTTGCTTGCCTAGTTTGTGGTGTTGAGCAGGCACACTGTAGCACAGAGCGCTGTTTGGGATTTTGCAAGCATTGAAACAATCATGAAATGCTGTAATGCACTGTCATCCCAAGAAGCAGAGTGACTTAAAATGGTACAAGTAAGTGAGATTAAGTCATCATCTGCCGTGGAGGCATAGAGTTTTCCAACTAACTAGTGACAGCAAAAAAGATTTCTCACTGCTTTGGCTGTGTGAGGCTTAAGATCAATTGGAATTCACAGGGTATTTCCATGGTACAGGCTGAAATGATTAACTGTGGGTGCAAATCAAGGAAACCTTTTGTCTTGACAAACCCTCCTCGTAGTTTTGTCTGTCCTGTGGCACCACTTTAGTCAGAGTCAAGAAGCTGCCTTTCATGCATTAGCTGGCTGCATTCAAGTACTTGAACTATGCCAGTAGTAATAATGTGTGGGGTTTGCACTAAATAGCATCACTTTACTTGCTGTTTATATTACTCACAGGATAGACATATGATAGATGCTTATGCAGCAGCACCTGAGAGAGCTGTAGGGCCTTAAAAGCAGTATTTTTTCCACTGTTTCCATGGTTCACCAGATGGTAAAACCAAACAATGACATAACCCTAATGAGCACCTGCTGCATCAAATTCAGTGTCGTACATCTACTGTCTGCATGCAAGTGTTGAACAGTCTCTCAAGTTCCTTGCTAAGATCCTCCAAACAGGTTGTGCTGTGATGGAGGCTTGCTGTGACACAGAACGGATTCAGTTAACAGAATGAATTTCAAGCCTGGTTTAGCAGTCGTAGTAATTTTGGGTTTTGGTTTGGGTTTGCTTGGTTGTTCGGGGTTTTTTTAGCTAGAACCATGGACACCACAATTTTACATATCAGACATTCTGCAGAAACAGTACCCTGACACTTCTGTGTGTTCCACCTTAGACTGCTGTGTGGAAATCACCTCCTCTTATGAAAGTCAGTCAGACTAGTTTTCAAATTCCTTTTGTTTAAAGACTGTTGGAGGGAAAGGGAGAGGATGTAAGTAAATTGTAACACATTATTTTGTTAGTTGCCACAGAGCGTCTTTTTTAATTGTTTACTGTTGATGTTAATTCTATTAGAGAAACCAGTAAACATCTGTTGCCAGATAGTGAGGTCATAAAGGCAGAGCTGAGGGAAATGTAGGTATCAATAAAGATTTTAAAATGTTTTTATAACTTGCAGCTTTTTTAACTTGCTCACATTGAGCTAGAAGAGCTAGAAGTATAACTGTTACAGGAGTAAATCAATGTAGAGTGCACAGTGAATTAAGCTGCAGAGAATACTTTTTTTCTGAAAGATGTAGTGACAAAATTAATGGTTTAGTGTTAAAAGGCATAGATTTTCTTCTGTTCCTTCCAAAGCAGCTTAAGAAAAAAAATGGCAGTTATGGAGCTTTAAATTAGGAAGTTCTAAACGTGCTACCCTCTTGCTGTAGTGAGATCTGTCTGTGCCAAACAGTCACAACATGGAGGCAAGTACTTTTCTAAGGAAAATGGACCAGGAATTCAAGGCATGTATTCACTGTTCCGTACACTGTCAAGAGCCAAGTGTAAAAAGGACTTCAAATGTGTTTGTCCAGCATGAAAAAGTGATGACTTACATTGTGGGCCTGTACTCTCATTCCTTTGGCTCAATTGAAATGTCCTGCAATTAGCTTTGAGCTATTTAACCATACTTTACTTGTTCTGTCTTGGACTTCCTCTCCTGCCCTTCTTGTTTTTGGATTTGGGTTACTTAGTAATCTGCTTACTCTGCTTGATTTTGTCCTTGCTTTACTACAAAATATACAGTTACTACTTGTCTGAAACAGTGAATCAGAAGTGAAACAATATGAAGACATATTTAAAATCCAAACAAGAATTAAGGATCTCTAAATAATACAAAGATTTTAGCCTATTAAATTTCTGTCTTAAAATCCATCCTGAAAACACACACTGACTGCAATGTATCTTAGGTTATATTAGATTTTGCTAGATACTCGTTGTGGTTTGTTTCTGAAATGCTTTTTGACTTCTTCATATAAAGAAAAAAAAAGTATTCTGTTCTGTGTGAGGCTTGACTGTTACAAAGCTTTGCATAAACCATGCCTGTCTGCTGTCATTTATATATGGTAACACTTGAGTCTTACTTTCAGGGAGATGCTAAAATATGGCATATTATTGAAGTATTAAATAATTTGTTCTGAGGCAAATTGTCAGGTTTTTTATTGCCTTAATAGAATGTGTCTAGTTTTTAGTTTTGTTTTTTAACGAGACCTCTAGGTGGAGTCATAACACTGAGACCCCGTGAATGTTGATTGCAGATACCTGATGAGTATGGTCCTCACACACACAGTGCTGGCTTCCAGCACTCCGCGCTGGTTCTCCTGCAGTCTGTAAAACTAGGAAGTGTTGCTTAACTAAGGTCTGCTGTTTCAAAAGGTAGAAAAATCGAAATGGTCTTACTGTTGTTCTTAATTTTAAATTGGCAGCTTTTACAAAGCTTCATACAGTAAACTACTGATTGAAAAAGCTGTTCATAGTGTGTGTTGTGATTTGCAAATCTGCTCTTATTTATATCCATAGGAATGTTCCCTGAAGTATACATAAGCTGCAGGAAGAAAAATTTAATTGTATTTTTTTGCCATCAGAGTATTAAAAACTAGAAGATGACTAAGTTATCTGAATTTGAGACCCCTCTCTGTCTCTCTTTTCTTTTTAAAATCTTGGCTCCCACTTTACTCTTGAAGCTGTTATCCCAGACCTTTTGTCAGCGGAGAATAGTTTTCCATCCTACATGAAGCTGATATACTCTGATTTTTGTGTGGCTGCATAGACCTGTCAAATTTATTAGCAAGTACAACAGACTGGTCTGTATATATGTTTCCCAGAAACACACTTGTTAATACACTTTGACAAGTACAATTTTACAGAACAATGTAACTAATTCTGTTTAGGTGAAGATTAATTTGAAAACTGGAAGTGCCATTAGAAGAGTCTTAGAAGGAGTCACGGCTATCCATATGTAATCAGTTAAATGAGACAGCAGGCTTAAATCTTGACCATATAAAATGATTATCAGTAGTAGCAGCATGTTGTGGACAAGCTTGCAGGTTTTTGTATTTTCTAAAGCTGGTACTATCCTTTGCTGTTTCTACTTCATAGATTGTGGCTTTCTTGTTTTATTTTAATAGCGTTAATGGAATGTGCCAACAAAGGGTTGCTTGGAATGTTCCAGTCATGGAAAATGTTTCTAAACAAAACCAGACTTACATAAATGTTTAATAGGCTTAAAATACTTACTGCACAAGTTAAAAGTCAGTCTGTAAATTCAATTGCTTTGTTTGTCTTTGCAGCAGTTATGTTAGCCACTGTATTGCTGTAATAGAGTACAATAAAGGTCCTTTTCCTTTCTAAAATCAAATCAAATTATATTTTCCAGAAGCAGCAAGTAATCAAATTGTAGATTTGTTGGTAAAATAAATCACCTAGCATTCTAGCAAAAATAGCAATGATTGCACTCTGTAACTTAGAAGCTTTGTTTTTTTCTTAAAAATCCTCTTTTAGAAGTAGCTACTAATCTTTTAAATTGTTATTCAACTTACACTGCTTTTGGCAGAAATTATCATTCTTACTGCTTTGGGGATTGGCAGATACCATAGTTTGTGAAAACATCTGCTTCTGTAATACTCTTTGTTGTAGCTGAAAGTCCAGACTAAACCTTCTGTGCCTTTCTTCCTGAACTTCTCATAGATGGATGAAGCAGTGCACAAATGCATAATATATTTCAGTCTGCCCTGTATGTTATTCCACTGATGTTATTAGATGCCATGGGACTTGCTGAAGAAAAAGGCCATTGCAAGTTGCTAACAGAGGCCAGTTAGTTATTCATAGTAAAAATGCAATGTAAATACAGGTGCTTTAATTTTGAAGGACCTTACAGGAACATAGGGACTGGAAGGGAGGATTGGAGTGACAAAGTCTAGTCCCGTGCTACTTTAGGTAACCAAGTAATAGAATCTGTTTTATTAGCTGGTCAAGCTCCATGCAATAAATAGAGGCGTTTTAACTTCTTGGAGCTTATTGGGCAGCTGTTTCAGAGTCTCACTGCCCTGATCGTTACAAATGTCTCCTAAAATTCTAGCTTACATGTATTCCTGACCAATTTATTCTAATTTATTCTTATGTCAATATTGCCTCTTAGCATTAATAGCTCTTTTCACTTTGGGACATTTAAATGGTATGCTTAATGACAGCAATCATCTTGACACTTTTTTGGCAGAATAAATCTGTGCATTTTATACATAGTAGTATGCACTACTACTAGCAGTAGTGCAGTCTTAGGTGACTGTTGACACTTTTGATCCTTTGGTTAGGTCAGCACAACTGTTTTGAAGTCACACATCAAATAGATGATGGAACTGAGAAGTTGTAAAAAAGCTGTCCCCCCTGCATTTTTTTGGTCTGCTTAATTTTTCACCTGTATGCTGCCCTGACTCTTTTCGAAGTATGACCCTATGAATAGTTATGCTGCTGTCATTGATGGAATGGTGTACGGAGGCAGAAATTAGCAGCAAGGGGAAAGAAGATTATCTTCAGGCAATACTGCTGCTGGACATGAACCTTAGCCTTAACCCAGGCTTGTTCAGATATGTCTACTGTTCTACACTGCGCTGCAGAAAATCCAACGTAATATCTGAAACAGTTTCAACAAATCAGTTCAGGCATTAGCAACAGCCTACCCATGGACACCTGGGATAATTGCAGTATACATGTAACATTATTTAAAGACCTATATTTGTTTCTCCTTCCATCTAATTTAAACTGAATAAACTTCTGATTGCTCAGTCCAAGCAATGGTTGGCTCTTCTGTAATGTTGCTGCCATTTACCAACAGCAAGCCTAAAATAATAATTGCATCTTGTTGGTTCAGTTGCTATTTGAAGAAAGCTGTTTGCTGTTGCATCTGGTTCCTACCATTATTAATAGACTTTATTTTCCAGTTTATGTCTGAGAAGTTAAAGTTTCCCTCAATGATACAATTTACGGTAATATTTTCTCTCTAATAACATGATAAGTGTAGTTGGAGAGCATTTTTGAGACAGTCATACTATTTTAGTTATACTCTTCTTTCTTGTTTCTTTATAGTCCATTTAATCTTTAATTTTGGCATTGGTTCTTTGGTTATTTCTTGAACAAATAAGATAAAGTTAGTAAATTATCAATTTTATTGCAGTCTGATACATGGAGTTTGGACAATTTATTGATTTATAGTTTTGTGTGGTGTCACCGTTTTTAAGCAGGGCAGCAATACGCAGAGCGGCAGATGCTCGCTATTACCCCCCGCCCCCTCTCCCACGGGAAGGGAAAAAGGAGGAAACGGGAGAGAGACTTACAAATTGAATATCAAAACAACTTTAATAATAATACCACTACAATTAATAATAAGAGAAACAGTGCAAAACACACAACGCCGACGCGGAGTTTCCCGGCGCTGGCGGCTGCGGGCAGGCACCGGGAAATCCCGGACCGGATACGCTGGTAGGCGGGAACAGGACTAGGGAGTGCACGGATCGGAATCTGGATCAGGATCGCAGGCAGGACAGCGAGCAGGGTCCTCTGCAGAAGCCGACCATGGACAAAGACAGCGAGACCCTCGTGATCCCCCAGCTTTAAACTGAGTGTGACGTGCACGGCGCGGAATACCGTGTTGGTCAGTATCGGGTCGGCTGTTCTGTCCGTCCCTCCCTGCAAGTGCGACCCTTTACGGTTCCTCGCTCGCAGGACCTAAGAGTTCTGTTGGTGACCTTGGCTGCTATAGTAATAATTATAAACAGGGGCCTTTCCTGCCTTCCATTCCTACATTAGCTCAGTAAAACTATGAACATTAGATATTACCAGCTTTGGAGCGGACATTGTCTGTAAAATACACAGCCAGCTTCAGAAAATTGCAGTGACTTAGAAGAACTTATCTGTAAGGAAGATTCACTAAAAGAGAATCAATTCTGTTTTAACCAAAAACTGGACACGTAGGCAAAGAATATTAAATACTAAGCCATGAAAGAAATGGCCAAGATTTCACCTGTGCATATATTTTCACTTACATGTTGTTTTTTACTAATCTGATGTGAGTTACATTTGCTTTAAGTACAATCTGATTGATTGGTAGCAAGGTAATGACACACATCTGTAAATGGTTATTTGAAAAGCTGCATGTAGCGATTGGCTTTGTGTGAAGTGTTCTGTTACAGTTTTTGAAGGCCTACCTGCATTTGGTCAATTAGAAAGCCTTACAGGTCTTTCTGAGTTTGTACTGCTTTTGTTAATCTACATAAAAGACTGGTGCTTCCTTGTATCGGCAGGAGGAGACAAGGTATCAACATTTCAAAACAAGGCACAGTCCTATGTTTTCCAGATAGATACTTGCTGGCATTTATGGCAATCATTTATGCAGCTGTCAAATTTGTATGTGTATTCCTCAGGGCAACTAGCCAACATACTAAGAAAATCAGATGGCATATTTTTTTTGTGTTTTAAAGTAGTGCTCTGCAGTAATGGGGGACCCTGCGTGCAAGTTCATGAAGGAAGTCCAACTTTAATTATTAATTAAACTTTTTGGACAGGCTGAAATTAATATAATCTACTGGTGCTTTGACTATTTTAGTGTTTGTTTCTGGTAATATGTAGTTGGTCAGTGACAGGGCTGTGTTTTCTATACATCTCGGTGAAGGTAATGAATGACAGAAGGCTGTAGGTTCCCTTGAAAAAAACCCACCTGCTCCATATCCTGCATCTTAGCATAGTTGTCAGTTTTTATGTTGTTCAGGCTGTTGTTTTCAGTTGATTCTATTTTACTTTCATTTTCACCTTAATTTGGCACATTTCAGATTCTTTCTGATGTTTGGGGGGGTAGAGGTGGGTCAAGGAGTGGGTAGAGTTCAGAGCCTTGAACCTGCTTTTGAGGAGGTTCCCCTTCAGCTCCCATGAGTTTATACCAGAGCTGCACTAGTCATGTGTGAAAAACTAGACATAGGGCAGTCCAGTAGGAGGCTGTTCATGACTTAATGAAGTACTGTTCTTTAATGGATTTGTAGATTCCGGATAGAATTCTGTGGGTTTGGGGGATGGGAAACTAATGCATTCTGAGAATACTAACAGCCTTTTGCGATCATGAAAGCAGCTTCATTTATCATAAACTTCCAACTGAGATTCAAATTTTCAGTAGCCCACTGGAGAGGCTGTTAAGGCATTAATGTCGGAACCAAGTTGGTGTCAGAGATGGAACGGAGGTGGGCGGAACGTACTTTATTTAGGCTTCATTTTCAGAGTCAAATCATCAATGTGCTGGATATTGATGTTTCTGTATGCCAATAGAAGGGAAAAGTAAGCATCTTGCCTGCACTGGTGTGGGAGGATTTGGAGAAACTGCAGTAACAATTTAAAAAAAAAATGTTAACAGAAAGCATAGATAGCAATGTTGTCTTTCATTTTTGTCTTGCATAAAAATAATTTTGGCTAGGCTATTTCTAGAGAATTCCTTTTATAGACAAGTGAGACTTTTAACAAAAAGTCTTGCCTTCAAACAGAAGGCCTGCTTGTGGCTCTTTTCAGATTGTTGGCATTTCACTTCTGCTTTTTTTTTTTCCTTCAGGCTAAAATTGCCTATCCTTATGTGCATGCTCCCTACATTGTATGTCAAAACCTATCTTAGCACTTGCGCACATACCAGACTGGTTTTACAATAGAATTAATACAGGTACGTGGCTAGCACTAGCAGAAAAAGGTATTTAATGTAAGATAGCGTTAAGTAAACATCCATTTTGGTAGCAAGGTCTCTGTGTGTGTTCTTCTATTTCTTTAGTTATGGTTGAAAATTTTAATTTGTCATTATAAACATAACAAAATATGGTTTGTTTGGGTGTTTTTGTTGAGTTATTATTTTAAATTGTGTGACTGAAATAGGGAGGCTGATAATAAGTCTTTGCCAGCCAGATATCCTCCTATGATGTTCCTATGATACTAAACACTGCAGGAAGTTTTACTCCTTGAATGCAAGCTGTCGAATTATTATCTTCCTCAGAAATTACTTCATATATAACTGAGCTATTAATGTAGTCATGGGGCGGACATCTTCTTGACTGTGTGGGTTTCTGTTGACCCCACTTCAGTCAGTAGCCTGAGTATGTATCCTTTTCCTTTATACTACCGAGTTGAGTATTGGATTATTGGTAGTGCTGTATTTCTGAAGCCAGTATCTTTTAAACTCCTGTTTGGATTCTTTGCTCCAAGTATTTTTTTCTTTTTTTTTTTTTTAATATTGTCAAAAAGATTAGTGAAAAGGCAGTCATTGGTTGCACAGCACACTAAGATCAGTTACATATGTAAACTGTTCTGCTAGCTAAAGCTGAAATATAGTTGATTTATATAATCAGGATTAACAGTACATAAATTACAGTAAACTTATGTACGTCTTCTGGCAATAGAGTAAAACTGTCTATTTAAAATCCACAACAATTAAAGGAATATTTTTTCAGGTGAGTAACAACTAGAAGTTTTCCTCCCATGGCTGATTGTGTGGCAGACATCCCGTGTAAATATAAAATTATTTGTTTTAATGAATTAATTTGTTTTAATAATTAGTTTTCAGTCAGAGATGAGGAAAAATAAAAATGTGTCTTGGGTGGCTTTCTTTTGAAAAGCCTATCAGATGGTGGCTGCATGAATCTCAAAAAAGGGTCAGTGTAGGCAGAAGAAATAACTCTGATTTATTTAAAACTAGACTGAATTGATAAGGGTAATGGCTGTGTATCGTCCTGCTGGACAAGCAATGGCTCTAAAAAGGACTTTGTTCTTGCTTCTAAAAATACTCTCTAATTATTAAAAGTCTGTTGCCTTTTTTTAATGTTTGCTATAAACTACCTCTTGAACTAGAATCTTACTATGCAAAGATCATTTTTATACTTTCAGGTCCATTGGGCCACGGCTTGTGTTGAGAATGACATTAGGAGCAGAAATTACTAGCCAGCTGAAGACTTCTTCATACATAGCATCAGGCCGGAACCTTTTGAGATGGGACCTGTCACCAGTGCAAATTAGAACAAGAACAGAAGAACTGATCAGGAAGACAAAGCATGTATATGACAGTGTCGGGATGCTTGATATTGGAGAAGTAAAGCATGAGAATACTGTACGAGCCTTGGCAGATATAGAAGTGGAGTATGCAGGTTAGTGTACGTTTTCTGTGATTCTTTCCATCGGGCATTCCATCGGCACGTAAAGAAACATTGAGAAAAGATAGTTGTTGCTTACAATGCTGATGCATGCTGTGCTTATGTAAAATGTGTAGAGGCCTCTCAAGGGTCCGCTGGTCATAATAATCTTTCAGGACCTGTCAGCACTATGTAACATGATCAGCTACAAAGTTCTGCTGCTTTATTCTGGAGACAAAAGTAAGGATTAGCAAAACTGTACTGTTGATCTCTTTGGCGCATCCAGAGAACCTAATTGGTCACCTGTTTTGTTTTTGCATGTGAAGCTCCACACATTTAGATTTTCTTTTGCAACTGTGCACAAGCCGCTAGGGGACAATGTGCAACGGTGTAGACTACAGCATCTGTGGTATGCATGGTACATTCAAACCTGATAAGCACGGCTTTTTTCAGACACTGCAGAATCTGAGACAAGTCAGTCAAACGGAAGAATAGAAAGGCTGACAAACTCCTAGTGGAGAAAATGTGGTGGTTGAGAATGGGGAAATTTTTGAATGCTTTTTTACTTGCTCACTTGTATATTATGGCCTGCAAGGCCTTGAAGAATCAAAGGAGAGGTGTCGGTCATGCAGTCGTATCTAGATTGTTCTGAATGAATTATGAAGACATGCCAATACATGGATAGAGTTTAATGCTCAAACACAGCTCATTCAGTTAATTTGTTAATAGTTTTCAGTCAGAGATGAGGAAAAATAAAAATGTGTCTTGGGTGGCTTTCTTTTGAAAAGCCTATCAGATGGTGGCTGCATGACTCTCAAAAAGTGGTCAGTGTAATAAAATGTCAAGTTCTCTTAAATCTTCTAAAGAAATATGCAGTCGCAACAGAAGTGCTGAAAACAGCCACCTTGTCTTGGAGCAAAATTCATTTAGCAAAAAAGACCAGCGTGCAGATCAAATGATTGTACTGTAATATTAGTCTGGCTTTCACATTGCTTAGGATTACAGTTTAGGCACATCCAGTGAGTTGATTGGAATTGATGCTGGCAGAAAGACTGAGTAATCTTCATCCAAACAGCTTCCTGTCAGATTCAGTTTTAATTGTACTGATGTATTTGGTATAGTTATTGTAAGCCTTTTCACCAAGGTATAAAACTCTCTGTTTTAAATTAAATTAGAAGGAAAATCTATGTTGTATTCAGAAAATAGTGGCCATCAGCTTCTCAGCATAGTCACCAAGACTTGCGTCTTCCAAGATGTACTTTTTTTTTCTCTACATACTGTTGCAGCAGTGGGTCGTATTTAAGCTTTTAATGCTAATCTTCAAAGCTATATGTGAAATTAGGATGACTTACCTGTGAAACAGTCTATGACATATGATAAGAATGTATTACTACAGCAAGACTTCCATTAGAACCTTGAATTTTTAAGGCTTCAGAGTCCTTTTCATGTGAAAGACCTGCCCCAGTAAATGGAACTTATTATCTGAAAAGACACAGATGACAACAGGCCTTACACTTCACGTGGAAGTTGCCAAAACTCACTTCATCATCTTGAAACATCTTGGCATGAGGACAACAAGGGGAGAAGAAAAAGCTTCCTGTGGACTTGGAGAAGAACCATATGCCCATGTTTGCATTCCAAAGGTTTCTGAAGCGCTAAGAGTATCTCAGGGTTTGATAAAACAACTTCAGATTACATAAAAATACAAAGCTTCAAATCATCCTGAAATATTGTTAGTCTAAAGTGTGTTTTTGGAGAGATGGATTGGAATGAAATTATGGTTGGTTTTGAATTAAGTTAATTCAGCTGGTCATAACATTTAATTTCTATTTTAGTATTTCTATTCAATGTCATTATAATATACAATATTTCTTTAATAGGTAGGGGTTTACTTAATCTCAAAAGTGTATTCTAAAAAAGTAGTATTACTCAGATTCTGATCTCCAGAGGTTCAGAATACATAGCATCTTCTGTGTTTGCCTTATTGTTTCTCCTTAAACACAGAAGATGAGGATTTGACACTGTCCTTATAACTATGTAAAAATAACTTCAGGACAGATGGGCCTGTTTGAAAGATTCAGAGCTTTTCAGTTTAAATACTAACATGGAACCATGTGTGCCAGCTATGAAATAATGTCAGTCTTCACTTACAAATGGTTCATCTTTCAAAAATTGTGTATCGTATTTATACACCTTTCGCTTGATTTTGTAGAAGTAAGAAGATAATTAGGCTTGAGTAAGAGATAGTTTCTGTAAAATGTTTATTTGTTATAATGGTGTGCGATTTTGTCCTTTCACCTATTCATTTTTACATTATCTGTAATCACTTTATTTGTTTTAAGCCTGATCTTGAAATGTCAGTTTGCTTTGGGTAATTGTTTCTTATGTCTTCTGTAAATATCAGAAGGGGGGGGAAGTTCCTTATCCTTAAAGCATTTCTAGCTTTCTGTGTAAGTGTTCGTTGTCTTTTATTTAAACAGTGGAAAGAAGCATGTTGGATTTTCCCCAGCATGTCTCACCTGACAAAGAGGTACGCTTAGCAAGCACAGAAGCTGACAAAAAGCTTTCTAATTTTGATGTGGAGATGAGCATGAGAGAAGATGTGTTTCAGAAGATTGTTTATTTGCAGGTAAATCACAATATCTGCATAACTTGTGGAAATGTAGATAAAATTTCAGCAGTGAAAAACTTTTCTCTGAAGTTAGTTATCCACAGGGCGTTTCAAGATCCCCGTCACTGTGTGTGTTTCGCCTGTGTCCATACCAGCCTGTGGTTCCATGAAAACTTGAGCCAGTGTGACTTGGTGCTCCCACTCTTTGCCTCTGATGTCTAGGTCTGTGTATCCTTGTGTCATCATGTCCCCCCCTACCCCCCAAAAAAAGCTTTGACTTTTGTCAAATCTTCCAATGACCTGGTACAAGGAAGCTAAACTAGCAGAAGGAAACCCGTCGGGAAAAATAAATTTTACTGTTTTCTGCTGGCTGAGCTCCCTGAACTGGTTTGCCCAGAGTATCACCAAGGCAGGAGGAAGTAAAGAGGCAATATAGCAATGTATTTAGATTGGCTTATCCTGCTTTTGAATTTTAGTCCAAAACTCTGCTTTATTGAAATTGTTGAGAATTAAATTTTAAAGTTGAGTTTTAAGTTATGAAAGTTAATGAGAACATATAACTGGGAGCAACCCCTGAAATTACCTCTTTTGATCTGCTAATTATAGAGAGCTACGTTGTATACTCATCCTCATATGTTGCTTAAGCCTCAAAATAAAACTAAGTCAAAAGATACTGTTGAACTAGTTTCTATCCCTTTTGTGTTTGTTTTAGCTTCCCTTCTAATTGAGCACCTGCAGGTATCTTGTATTCTTCATTTGTACTGTTTATTTTGTAGCTCAAACAGAAAGAACATTTGTTTTTATTCAAATACATCTAGTGACATTTAGTAATAATTTTTCAAAAGTGTCATTTAATAATGCAAGGAAGCTATCTAATGTGAAAACTGACATATATACATTTGTCTGTGCTTCAGATGTGAATCTTCCGTTTCAACCCCACTGATTTATAAACTTCTTGTGATGTTGATAATATATTGGAGCGCTATTTCTTGGAGTCATTTGAGCTTTTTGTAGCGTTGGCTGGGAACCAGAATAATATTTCCAGCGCCTTATTAAAATGCCTTCCATCATCTTCTGTCACTATGTTTTCTAGGCACATTTTCAAGTGTTCTTCTCTATCTGGGTATTGTTGTCTATGTATTTGTGGCGGTATTTAATAGCCCCATTTTGAGAACCTTCTGTTGTGTGTTGGCAGATAGTGCCTTATGTTGACTTTTTTTCCCCTGCTCTGTCGCTGTAAATTACATGGTTTGATATATATTTGTTATTTGCTGTGATTTACCTCACACTCCAGTATAGTATAAGCAGACACATTTAGGACTAATCTGCTATATCTATGTATCTATCTATTTTTAATTTACAGGAATTTCTGGTAGTAGCTAATGCAAACTGATTGCTGTTATTTGCTAGTATTACTTTCTTATAAACTTTTTTAAAAAAAATCTTTTTAATTTGGTGCTGTCCTATTTCTTTTTCCTTTGCAGCAATACTTGGGTTTTACACCAGTTACAGTTGTTGCTTACATTTCCATTTAATCTTTTTAGGGATTTTTCTTGGTTTAACTGCAGTATGCAAGCATGTGTTAGTATTACTTTTCCAAAGATGCAACCTCTGAGCATATATCAATTTCATAATAACCATGAAAATAGTAGCACTTTTTGCTGTAGAACAGATGTGAAATTGCCAGTAGTGCCAGACAGATCAGTTCCTCTCAATTTTTGATAAATTTCTAATTCCTTCTCCTGTTAGAAACTCCTAGTTGAAAAGGCAGGTTCCAGGAGCACATTAAAAACCTGACTTCTGCAAACAGAAATGTTTTGCTGAAATAATTTTATCAGTTTAAATGAGCCAGTAAAACATTTTGATTAAACCAAGTTTTTCTTGGCCTAGCTAAGGACCTAGTAGTTCAGGTATACCCACTCAGTTTCATGTTCCTGTCCAGGGGTCAGATAAAAATGCAGTGAGGAGAATGAGGGCCCTCACACTCCCAAGTTATTTTTAATAAAATCAATTCACTAAAAGATTAGTAGATCTGATTGATCTCAGTGTCATCCTGAATGTTTTTTCTCCCTTTAATGAGGACTAAACTTAGTGTTCTTTCTAAATTCTGCTTTATTTAAGAACTGTTGATGGTGGATGATGTGTGAGGTTTTTGTTTTTAATTGCTAAAATTCCCTACATATTAGGGGAAAAAAATCCTGCAGAAATTTATATTGTTGACTATGCTCCAGATCTTATTCTTTAGAAAACTTTTATTTTGGGATCTGAAACTTGGAATAAAGGTGAATTTTGTATTGAAACTATCATTTTAAATTTTATTACTCCTAACATCTGCACATGTTGGCTAGCAGAGACATGCTTAAGAATGTTGCCAATCTTCTCCACCCACAGGCCCTCAGGAAACAGCCTGGTGTAAACAGCTGCTGTAGTTTTTGTTCATGATATTCTAAGTAGGCTTTGTTTCTTGTTCTAGCTGAAGATTTCTTCATGGAATAAGGTGACATGGTTGTCCAAAACAAGTATGAAATGGTATATAAAATCATCAACGATGACCATTCTACACTTCCAGAAAGTTCCAAAATTTCTTGTGTGTAGTATATGCAAAATTAGCACTTCAGTTGTGGAAATTGTTACTCAAAGAAACACAGGATCCTAACCAGACTGAAGTTCAGAGATGGCCACCAAGTGCCCTTGTTTCCTGTGCCTGTGAGGGTTTATACGCTTGCTTATCCTTAAAGACCTGATAGCTCTTTCTGAATGTGTATCATCCTTATCCTAAGCATGTCTGCTATGCAGATAAACTTCACAAAGGCTAATATTAAGACTAGAAGCTATTTAACATTGATTTATTCCGAAGAGTAGCTTTAGAAGGAGCCAATATTCACTGGCTTTAAGGGCTTAAAATTAGTATTTTCTTAATTCCCCACTTCTGCCTAAAAACTTTGCTGGGTTTGGGCGTAAGAGATTTTTAGGAGCATGACAGTTCTATATGTCAAATGGAGGGACTGGGAGATCCCTTGCAATGCCTAAATAACTCAGTAAGACTTTTCACAATTCTCTATGCAGAACTGTTACTGTAATAAAAGCAGTGTCTTTTTATAGAGAGCGCTCTATTTTTTCTCAGCCTTTCTATTTTTGAACCTTGCAGCACAGTTAGCACAATATAAATGTTAATGTAGTGACAGTACCTGCATTTGTGACATCTATGCTTTTGAAGTTGTGCTTTTCCTATCTAAGACACTAGTCTTAGATCAGAAAAAAAGAACTCTGGAATTATGGGTTGTCTGGTGGAAAAACAGTATGTGAAAATTCTGATATTTACAAATGCTTTTGTACTCAGTATCACAGTATTGACACTCATACTTGGTAGCGCAAAAATCTTCATGAAGCTGCAGAATTTCAGGGAATATTTTTTGCCAGAAACAGAACAGGAAGCATGGGTGTCACAGTGAGTAGGGTAATAGCATTCTTTTTATCATTGTGTTGGGAAATATTCTGTGGCTTGCCTTACACATTTATCACAAATGAGGAAGGAGATGTGAAGTTTGACTTGAAGGGGACAGAAAGCATGATTTTCTTCACTTACTTTCCTCCCAAAAAGAGACTTCCACAATTTATACCCTTTTATTAAAGAAAAAAAAAAACAAAACAAAACACAACCAACAACAAACACAACTGCTAAGTGCTGCAAAAAAATCATAGCCATGGTGAAGGGTACACCATGTAATTGCATGACTCAGTCATCATTGAATTTAGCTGTGTGGTGACCTATAGCAGTTAGATGATCCTTTCATGAATCTATGGATTCTTTAAAAAATTGCAGAAAATATTGAAAGGAAAAAATACTCACCATTCATCACATGATAGTATCAGTAAACTAAGTTAAATCTGTCTGCTCTAGAAAAGTTAGTTTATCACAAAGTAAAACGTTTGTTGTAATTTTTTTCACCGCACTTAGAAATTCTTGCATGTAGACTATTGGTATGTGTGTAAGAGTTTTAGGCACAATTGTACTAATGCGTAGCAGTCCTGCTGTAGCATAATGCTGCTGGGACTTGTGACTCTTTGCAGAGTAAAAACAAAGCTAAACCATTCTAAGCTCTTTCATGGTTTTAAAAACCAGCTTCCACGAATTTTTTAATCCAATGTGCAGGGAACTGGTGAGAGCTGACATTGTTTATGTGTTGTTGTGTGGATTGTTTGTAAGTGACAGTTGGGAAAATATCTGTTTCAGAGGTTTTATTCTTATTTATTTTCTCTTGGAATACAACTAGGTTCCTGTCTCTTATTTTTTCTCTTTGAGGAAGAAAGGTAATTGGCACTGGCAGGTCATTAGCTGACAGCTGTACACAGTTGTGTAACTCTTATAATTTACATGTTTCAGTGTCCTTACTCTTCAGAAGTGCTAGTCAATAATTAATTGGATGTAGGTATGCTGATGAGAGGGTTGTTAAGTCAAAGCTAATTCCAACAGCTTCGTATTTGAAGGTCAACTTAAATAGAATATGTCCTTTTTAACAAAGGCTATAAATTAATACCTTTTTTAACTGTTCATTGTTAGATGAGGGAAGATAAAATTTGAATGTATACAGCATTATTTTAAATTTAGGCCAAAATGCCAAGTTTCTGAATTTACCAGTTATACTGTAGTCATTTTGAAGGAAGACCCTCACAAGACTGATCCAGGTTCTGCTACGACCAGCATCTTGTCTCTTGATGTTGGCTGCTTTAGGAAATGACCATTCAAGAATCTTCATAATGGCATAACCAGACATAGAAACACGGAGAAACAGTGTTTTATTTGTTTTCACTGATTGATTTATTCTGAAAGAGATGTATATGCTCAAACTTTATGCCATCTGATAACCTTCAGTGACACAGCTAATCTTTTGGGATTTTTTTAATCTCTCTAAATTTTAAGGTATAATGTTACCTTATAGCACTAGCTTGATTCAAGTATGTGTAAGAAAGCTATCTCTACAGAAAAAGCTGAAGTGCACTATGCTATAAAATAAAAGGGCTTGATATTATGACAGCATGTAAATGTGCTGAGATACTTGGTAAAAGAAAATTATTTTTAAACCGTGCTACATCAATATAAGAATACTGTTGTGTAAGGTAACTGCTTGTGGAAAGTCTTTCACGCTAAAATCTAGGAAGTTCCTTGTTTATTATTTTACTGTTCTAAAGAACGACTCTGTTCAGACCCTGCTAATGCTTGACATGTTTATTACACCATGTTGTAAACTGCGTTATTCTATACTGTCGTTTCAGCAAACCTGCAATCTTGAAAATGTAAACCCTGAAACAAAGCGATATCTAGAGAAATCAGTTCAAGTGGGAAAAAGAAATGGACTCCATCTTCCTAAAGAAGTGCAGAATGTAAATATGGGCTATTAGTTTATAAAGCAAAGGTGACAAACTGTTCAAGGGATGAAATTATGGTTGTACAGTTTTACTAAGGATGTATTTCAACTTTTTTGCTTTTAGACCTGCTTAATTACTGCTCTAATCTGAATTGTTCGTAGACGCAGATCCATCCTTTAAATTTCAGTCACCTTAAGGTTTTTAATTTAAGCTGTTAGACATGGTACTTAGTGGATAGAGGTGGTGTATAGCACCTTGCTTAGCCTTCCAGAGTAAAAGAAAGCCTGTCTGGAAGAGTTTTGTTATATATTCTGATTACAGAGAATTCCAAAATTAGATCGATTCCTAGCCAAGAGACCTCTCAAAACTGTTGTTTGTGAGTCCAAGCTTCAGAAACTATGTACAATTGTTGCAAAGACACAGCTATTTTAATTTCAGTTATTAACTAGTGTTGTAAATTGTGTCCAAGATTTTAGCATTTTGTCTACAAAACCTTGAGGTAGCTTAAAGGGAGCACAAGCTGTACTGAGAATTTTGGCTCCATTAAGGGACGATTTACTCTAGTATATAAAAGCACTAGTCAATTTCTGAAGATCATGAAGTGAAATTATTGTATTTTAATATATATTTTTAATTATCTAAATATATAGTAAATATAATTATCTTTAAATTCTGAGTGATGTTGTATAGCAATCTCAATTTTTGACTCTTGAATAGTCTTCACCCTATGTAGAAAATAATCATTCCTCATCCACATCCTTCAGTTAGTGGGAACAGCTTCATGTGTATTTGCGTTGCTTAAGGGCAACTGATGCCTCTAAAGGAATTTCGAAATACTTTAGAAGGAGACAGTAGTTGAATTACACTGAAGTAAAAACTTGACCAATGATAATGTCTGCCAAGTTCTGTATTTGATATGTATTCTTCTACTGGTAACTACTGTGTTTATGTGAACTTGACAGTAAGGGGGAGAGGTGTTAGAAAATGTTTCAGATGGGTGAATATCAGGATTTTAAAAAGGATTTTGGAATGGTCTTGTCTTGTGTGGATATTCTCTTCTTTTTGTCATACGTGTACATTTCCAAAGGATTGTTTTTCAATAGGTTGCGTGCATTTTTGCTCCCTTGATTCTCATTGATTTTAGTGGATATTTTTACACTTAAAATGTCGTTTAGGCTTTTCAAATAAAAAAAAATAATTGAAGGTCAGCATATAATGCTGTTCAGAGAACATGTTTATGTAGTATTGCTCAGGACCAAAAGAAAGATAAAAAGGAGGATGAGGGAGAGTGAAGTGTGACACTACCTGCAGTGTGTTACTTGCTCAGTGCTGGTATTCACAGTCAGCTAGTAGAGAGCCTAGCTACGAAAAGTGATATACTATTCATGTGGATGGTAGTAATTGCCAAATTTGATTTTTTTTTTCCACTAAGTTCAGTCTATACTCAATACAGGAAATAAAGACGATGAAGAAAAAATTGAGTGAGCTGTGTATAGACTTCAACAAAAACTTGAATGAGGAAAACACTTTTCTTGTATTTTCTAAGGAAGAACTTGGTGAGTAGTATGCTTGCTCCTTCCATTTCTTCAACTTTCCAGTTGTACCAGTGTAATCGTTTTTGGCCCAGTAAATGATGGTTAGATCAAGTGAAATTCTGTTTTCCAATCTTCTCTGTTTCCTTTTTAATCCTTCCCCAAAGTCAGTTTACAATTACCCTTTGTAGGTTTTTATGATCTCTTCATAGATTTGTGCTTCCTAAAGTGTTTGCCTTTCATCGTTAGCATATCTGTCCTACTTTTTTTTCCATATCTTTACTCCTCTCTGCTTTTCTCAGTTCTCTACGATCAGGCAATCCCCTTTGTATTGTATTCATTGCAGTTATTGGAAAAACTTTTCTGTCCTGCAATATATTTTAGCTACTTCAATCATTTAAACTGATGTAGAGATTTTATGTGATGGAGAATTTGGGGTTTCGTTATCTGAAGGGCATGGCATAAAATGTGCTTTATTGACACCAGAGATTTTTTTAACGTCATATTCAGTTTTTATCTGGTACTCTTACAATGTATTTCTCTTTTGCTCACAAGGGTTTCTAATTTTTATTTTGCTTGGTTGTGATTTGAAAAGGTTTTAGCAAATAGCTGTAAAAAGAGGGGTTATGTTTCCATGGAGCTTTCTGATGTCAAACTGGATTGCAGCAAAACGAATGCAACAATCTCATAAAAAGAGAGGGGAGTAGGTAATTCTGGTAAATGTTGTTTATTAAATTGTATTCTGTAGAAGGCCTTCCTGATGACTTTATTAAGAGTTTAGAGAAGACTGAGGAAGATAAATATAAAATTACTTTAAAGTATCCCCACTATTTTCCTGTCATGAAGAAGTGCTGCATTTCGGAAACCAGGAGAAAGATGGAATTTGCTTTTAACTCGAGATGCAAAGAGGTATGTCATATATTGACTGTTCTATGTGGTAATGACAGAGTTGAAACATGGAGGTAGACATTCAAATGTTAGATTTCAGTTCTATATGTTGTCTAGTACTATGAAATCAAAACTTACCAGTGTGATCTTTAACAGTTTCTTGCTCCAGTTTATTCTGATGTCTAAAGCCCTTAGAAGCTGATGATCAGCCTGTGTGTTGTATGTATCTTGAAGTTTCAGTGGTGCTGTAAATAGAAATAGGATTCTGATCTTTTGCCTAATTTCCGTACAGTGTTCTGCAGCTGCTTACTGGTACTTCCTCCCAGAGAAGGATGTCTGTTTGTAGCTTCTGTGGTACTTTGGGATTCTTCAGAATGAGAGGAGTTATTTAAGCATACGTTTTAATTATGAAATACAGGTGATTAACTGTGAAATTAATGCATTGCATATTGATGAGAATTTTAATTATATGTTAAAAAAACCCTAATTTTTATAAAAGATTCCTTTGATTATCTGAAAAATAGCTGGTAACATGCCTCATGAAAAGAAGAAATAATTTCACCAATAATTTGTTTGATACTGATGAGACCAGGCACCTAGACAGGTACAAAACTAATGGAAAGAATAGAAGAAGTGTTATTCAGGCAATTGTACCAACCATTCATTGGAGAACAATGGCAGAGTTGAGCTTTTGTACTTGATGTGCTGGGAAATGTGAGTACAAGAGAAGATAAAAAGGCACCAAGAACTGAACACTCTGCCAGTCAGCACACTTAAAGAGATTTGCTGCTAAAACTGTGGGAAGATCTTCGAACTTAGTGCTTGGAAGAAAGAGTTTTCCCTGAGAAATCTTACTGTTTCAGAACTGCAGTTACATTTTCAGCTTCTCGAGGATCCTCCACCACATTTAGATCAGGGCCTGGGGTTTTTGTATTTCAGATCTCTTTCTCTGACAGCTATTGTCAGAGTGGCAAAAGAGGGAAATTTGCAAGCAAGCTTTGAATGATGGCCCAATTGATGGCAATTAAGCCTGCTGTCAGCAATTTCCCTGTTAGTTTTCACATTTAAATGATTGATGAAATAAATAAACTCTTTGCAACCGTTATCCTAAAAGGAAATGGTATATCTTTTGATTAATTAAAACAGATAAATCATAATTGACTAGAAAACTAGCTATCTGCAGTCAAATGCTGTGACAAAGAAACTACAAGAATCTAGCTAAACTGATGTTATTCTGTATTTATATCTTAAAGTATTTAATTTTAAATGTTTGCTGTTTGCAAACAATTGCATATATTATGCAGATAATTGTTTCCATGACATGTGTTTTCTGGTTTCACTTTACAAATGGGCCTCTCTTCTTTTTCAGGAGAACACAAAAATTCTTCAGCAGTTGCTTCCACTAAGGGCAAAAGTAGCAGAGCTTCTTGGTTATAATACACATGCCAACTTTGTCCTGGAGGTAAACACTGCAAAGAGCACAGATAACGTAACAGCCTTCTTAGGTTTGTCTTATTTATAAGCAATAGTTTTATGCTTGGTGTGGCAACACGACTCCTCAGCCAAGATAAATTTAAATATATAATTGGGGCACACTGTTCATCATGTTTAGATAGAAAAGGAACTCTCTGTTGCCTCTGTTCTGGCATACATCTTTTTGAACCATAGCTGCACAAATGCAATTGCTCCAAAACAGGGAAGCACAAGACCAAAATCCAAAAATAACTGCTTTGTGACAGCCAATATAGACAAGCGTTTATGTCTTTCTGTGCCCCAAGATGCAGTTATCCTAATTTAGAACCAGAATAACTTGAACAGCCTAAGCAATTTTATCAGTTCAAGAGGCTGCGTCATAGTTGCAGCTTTTCATTCCTTTAGGTTGGCTGCAATTGTCTGTGCATCTATAGCCTTAGTGTCTTTTTTCAATACAATTCCAGTAACTATAATGAAAGGTTACAGTATGTGATGATGCAGCTTCCATGAGCTAAATAGAAAAATTATATCTAGAATGATAGATTAAATCTGGAATTCACTGGCCTTCTAATGGAATTTGGTCTGAAAACAGAGATACCTTGTAAATATTAAACTGAGCAGTTTATGAATTTATAGTCATCCTGTTGACCTCAGTGGGCCTATTCTTGGGCATAGATTTAACCTCTACTTTCTGCAATTATGTAGTTCCACAGAACAGTATGTGTTCCTTTATTAATGTGTCCTAACACCACTTACATAAAAATATAAATAACCCCCCCAAAATAATTTAGTACAGCAATAAAGTCTGTCCGGTGGTGGTGGTTTTTTTGTGTTTATGCATCAATAAAGGTGTGCCTCTTCCTTCACCTGTAATTCTGTTGCATTTCTCCTGTTATGGTGTGAGTTCAGCTCCATATTTGGCAATTCCAATTATCCGTGTATTTGACAATGAACTTACACTTAATTTTTATTTATTTATGTTTTTTCAATATTATGATGTTTTATTTATCTAATTAGATGTTAGAATTACCTGATTTTTTTTAAGTGTACTGAAAGTAGTTTGGATTCTTCATTATATTTTTGTAATTCTAAATGGGCTTAAATAATGCTATGTTTATTCACTTGTTTTGAAGCTGACACACCTCATAATTTAGCAGTTATTGTCGTGACACTAACTTTCTACAGTATGAGATTGTATACCTTTATTCATAAGTATAATGTTTCATGGTAATTCTCGTAGAGGGAGAATGTTCATCAAATTAAATTAATTGTGAGCTCTAATTTAGTTCTTTTGATATATCCTTGGCTACAAGTATGACAGTATGATTTGCTCTGCTTTGTTCATGTATACTCATATTTTAAATCAATGTTCATAACCCAATCGTATGGCTAGGAGGAGAAGCATTCTGTCCTATGGCATATTCTGAATTTAGCATAAAGCAAACTGCAAACAGTATTCCAGTCATGTAAATGCATATAGTGGCTTACGGCCTACCTAGAAACAGGAATGGCAATTAATTCCTAAATTTTACACTCTAGATACCAATAGTGAACGGAGGTCATAAAGATTACTATCCAGTGACTTTGGTAGTCTAGAAGCTAGCCATTGTATAGGTAAGAACTCTTTCGTCTCATGTTCTTTTACAAGACTTTAGCTAGAAGTAGGTCATAATGTGTTTTGAAAAGTCTTCAAAGAAAAAGTAGTGTTTGAATTTCATGTTGCACTTCCAGTGACTAATGGTAGCTGTAGTTTTCAGCTCTTTCTGCAGCAACACATAAAGAGAACTGAGATTACATGAGGTAGAATCAAAGGCATCAAGCAAAAGTGTCTAGTGCTACTTTCTGTTTCTGATGTCTCTGAAAAAGTCTAAATTTACCAAAACTCTTCACAGTACTGCTAGGCCTGTGTGGACTCCTGTATTATTTATAGCATAACTGTAATTAAAACTCCTTAAGACAATCAAGCAGAGAGTTTGCTTGCTGTTCGTCAACAAATGGAAAACTCTAGAATCTACTCTTGGGGCATATGTTTAAAGTTCTGAGTGTATTTTATGGGAATACACATTATAGTAAGAAACACAGAAGCTGATTGCAGGGTTATCTTTGTTTCAGATGATTTGAGTAAGAAGCTAAAGCCATTGCTTGAGGAAGAAAGAGAATTCATCCTAGATTTGAAGAAAAAGGAGTGTAAAGAAAGAAACTTTGATTATGATGGAAGAATCAATGCATGGGATCTTCATTATTACATGAACAAAACAGAAGAGCTGAAGTACTCCATAGACCACGAAAAGCTGAAGGAATACTTCCCAATTGAGGCTGTTACAGAAGGCTTACTGACTATTTACCAGAAGCTGCTGGGACTTGTATTTGAGCAAGTAGAAAGTGCTCATGTTTGGCACGACAGCGTTACTCTTTATACAGTAAAGGATAATGCAACAGGAGAAATGTTAGGGCAGTTCTATTTGGACCTTTACCCCAGGTAATTATGACTTAGGTTTTTAAAATGGAATTGGTCTTAGTAGATTGCTAGCGTGGTTGAAATTAAATGCAATTGGAAGTAAATATTTGTCCCACTGGCAAGACTATTACCGTGTTCATTAAGTTGTCCTCTGGACTGTGTTCCCATTGTTTATACTTTCTCTTTTTTTTGCAGTACTACCATGTTTCTTGCTTATATTCAGTTTATGAAACATTACTGCTTTGTTTATTTTTCTGTGGTGTTGCTGTCAATTGTCTGTAATTTTTTGCCTCTATGAACGTTTCTCCTTCCTAAGTGTAATACTGGGGTTTACTTTTCGTTTATGTTGAACTGTTACTCCAGTCTGTTCAGATCAATCGTATTCCTGCCTGCCAAGTGTTCTTAGTTTATCCCGGTTCCTTTTTACACTTTGTATGTGTATTTTGTACCCTGTTGTCCAGACCGCTAAAGAAAATATCAAATAGATCTAGGACCAAGACTAGATTCCTGTTCAGCACACCTTGAAATGTACTTCCAGGTTGATCTCTGTAGCTCTCCAGCTCTCTTTGTAGCTACTTACAACATCATCTGTGTTCTATCACAGATTAGGAGACTAGACTGATTTGACAGGATTTATCCTTAGCTAGTCGTTTTTGACTGTTTCTCACTGGTTTTGGTGGGGTTTTTTGAATTGTTCTTTAGGAAATTTTTTAGAAATTTATAAATTGGCTGATACCCTTTTTTAATATAAATTGATTTAAGGTTTCTCTGTGCTAAGAAAATTAGGTTAGGCAATGCGATAGTACATAATTTGTACTTTTTAAGATAGGCACATGTTATCTCCTCCTCCTGCTCCCCCCCTTTTTGTGTATCATGTGAATTGCTGAAGCTATTTGTTAGTAAGAACCTTCTAACTTAACTACTCCTGTTTAGGGCAAAAATTTCAATAGAAATTTTTCTTTAAATTTTTGGATAACACTGAAAATGCCTCCTGTAATAAAACCAAAAATATTGCTTCAGAGGACAGAACCTAGTCCTTCCTGTTATAGTAGCAGTTTAAAATACAATTAACATCTAAAGGATATATATTTTCAATATATGAGTAAAAATCAAATTGTTGTAAATGCTGCTATGGATCTTGAACTGATGCAATTTAAGTACTGGGGTTTTTTCCCCTTGTGCTCTGAAAAGGTTCTTAAACTTAACGAGTCTTAGAAGTCATGAAAAGATATAATTTCTTTGTGTAAAGTTTTAAAGAGACACTGACTGATTGTCCCTGTTCTTGAGTAGGCTTTGCCATTCTGGTGACAGGCTTGTGGTTTGAAGATAGTGTTTGATATATTTTCTTACACAGAGAGGGAAAGTATGGGCATGCAGCATGCTTTGGTCTCCAACCCGGCTGTCTTCTCTCTGATGGCAGCAGAATGATGTCTGTAGCTGCTTTGGTAACCAACTTCACAAAACCAGCATCAGGTCGCCCATCATTGCTGAGACATGATGAAGTAAAGACTTACTTCCATGAATTTGGTCATGTAATGCATCAGATATGTGCACAGGTTAGTGATGTTTCAATTCCAGTGTAAGACTTATTTCTTTCTCCACTGTCTCAAAGCAAATATAAGTCCATTTTTCTAATTTTAGTAAAGTACATATGCAAGTTTTTTGTTATTTTTCAAAACTGGAGTTTGGGGTTTTTTTGTTTTTAATTTTTATTTAAAGCTACAGCAATGAATACACTTTCTTATGAAAAACATTTTCATAGGAACATATACTTTTGCGTTTGCCCATGCAGGTACCTGGGACGAGTGAATAGATCCGTGTGTCAGGTAAAGAAGGTACTCAGTGGTGGCTTCTGCTACAGCTGTCTAGAGGGCCTTTTATTACTTCTAGCAGCATGCTAGATATTAGAAGCAAAAAAAGGTTGCTATACGTATGAATGCAAATGATTTCTGAATCCAGATCACATCCAACATTTTGGCAGGTCTTGGCTGAGCTATCATATTTTCTGTTCTCCTGTCTGACAGACAGGGTTCTCACAGTGACAGGAAAGAACTGAAGCTAGTCTGCGGATTTTGCATGAAGATGTCAATAAAGTTGTAAAATTGCTGGTTCCATTTTTACTTACATGTAAAATTGATTCTGCCAGATGATAAATTTATTATTGGCCTAATGAAAGTTTTATGTTTCAGAGAGAAACAAGTGTCAGTATTCATTCACCAAAAAATTCGCTTAATTATCTAGAAATTCAGACTTTGTGTAGCACTGCTTTCATATTCTTAATACACAAGTACGAAATAATAAAATCAAAGAAATATGACATACAGTGAATTTTATTTCTTGACCTTGATCCTAGAGACTAGGATGGCAAAATAAAGAAACAAAGTCATAGAAATCATATATTAAACCTGGAATTAAATGAATTACATTCAAGGAAACTTCACAACAAGTAGCTAGACTTGCTTAGATATTTTTGCATCATGTTGAAGGTATAAATATGATTATTTGATCATCTTCACTCTGAGAGGTGTTTCTGACCTCAAAAATTGAGAAATAAAACCTGTTCTTTCTTTCAAACTACCTAGAAGTGTTTATAAATGAGACACGTTTACTGTTGGTACAAAATTGACCGCAACATTTTGATAACCGATGGACTGGAGGATGTGCCTGGGTGCTGCAGAGCCCCTTCTGGGCAGCCCAAGCCAACAATCCCAATATGTACGTACTTCACTTGCTGTGGAAATGCACACAGATCAGAGAGGCCTGCTTTCCAGTTGTCTGTCCCACTGCTCATATGGTTTCTGTGTGCATAGCTACCATGCTTACTGCTGTTATATGTTATGTAAATTGTTATTTGCATACCTGCAAATAACTTGCTAGTCCCACTTAAAAACATCCTGTCCCCTGGGATCTGTGTGTGCAACACACTATCTTGTTTCACATGATAATTTGTTTAAGCATGTTGAAACTTGACATTTAAAGGTTATGCGGGGATCAGACTGAATGGGAATCTGTGAGCTGCTGGTAAGGGTCAGCTTTTGGAGACTGATACTCCTTGTCACGTGCTGGGAATCTGCTGGAAAGTGAGATTATCAGGGCAGGGAGAGGATCTATTTATGCTGTTAGGGGAGGAAAGCTATTTAAGTACCTTGAACCAAATGTCTTAATATTTTTTGTTAGCATGGTGCACTTGTGTGGGTAAATGAGGATATCTGGAGGCTAACAAACTCTTGCACTCCTCTTGCCTTTTGCTCTAGCTATTTTTATCACTGTTTCTTCCCAACTGATGCTTCCTAGCTTTTCTTCATAGCTGCTATTCAGCAAGAAGGGACAGCCTGTTACAGCTACGGGTTCGAGTAACCAACTAGTGTAAATGAAGGCAAATGTTTTTCTCCTTTTCTGCTGTTCTTCTGAAGACTTGAGGGGAAGATATATGCATGTGACATAGCTGTCAGTTCAATGTTATGTCCCATATTACACATGCTTTTTTTTTTGTAAACCTGCAAGAAAGTAAGTTCAAATGCCAGTACTCCTGTATGCATCTATTCCCTAGTGGAGGCTGGAACTTAAGAATATCTACGTCTCTTAGAGAGGGTGTTTGAGAAACTGAGAATTCTCTTTTAGCACTTGAAATGTTATGTTAGAATGTTGCTGAGAAGGGGAGAACAATAAAATTAGGTTGGCAAGAGGACGTAGACTTATTACAGTAAAATCTTTGAATAAGTGCGGTTGACTGTAAGGCAGTAAACTATTTTATAAGTGTGTAATTGGAGTTTATTATTTTACTTTGGGGTAATACAACAAAATTATATAACAGTTTACAAATTATATCATTGTCATGAGACAGCATAGAAATATTTGTATTGCCGTCACAACCTAAAGGTAAAAATCAATAATATAAAGAAAACTTCCTATTTCACACCAGTAGAGAATGCAGTAAATAACTACGGAGTAATCTGTTTTGTTGCTTGGTAATAGTCTTATATCTGAATTTTTGCCCTCCTTTCTTTAAAATTAGCTTTTTATTGTTATTATTGACCTGTTCAAATCATTCCTTTTGCTTTGATTAACACTGAAATTTTGACATCTGAAAGTTTATATTCTGCTAGAAATCCTGGCTTCTATTTTCATGTAATACAATAGCTTTTCCTTTTAGACTGATTTTGCTAGATTTAGTGGAACTAATGTGGAAACAGACTTCGTAGAGGTACCTTCACAAATGTTTGAGAACTGGGTGTGGGAAAAAGGACCACTACAGCAAATGTCAAGACATTATAAAGATGAAAGCCACGTTGGAGACACTCTGCTTGAGAAGCTTGCTGCCTCTAGGATGGCTAATACAGGTATCTCTGCCCTCCCTCCCCACAGTATAAGAAATATATAATTTAAAAAACAGGTGAGAAACCTTAAAGACAAACGTACAAAGCCCATTACATTTCTTCTGTGTGTACACTTACCACTGTCTTTCTGGGTTTATTTGTGTGGGTACCACCATTAATAAAGGCTGTGATGATAGATACCACTATTTGCAGGCACAGTAGCAGCTCTGATTTTCCAGGCTACTCACAGAAATTAAGTATCTTTGCATTCCTCTCCTTTTTTACTTCCCAACTCTACTTATTTAAAATTGGCAGCAGGGGTAAAAGTCTTGAGTTTTCTGTTCTTTGTTTTGGTTTTTTTTTTCCTGGCAGCCCAGGGCAGGCACTGTGCACAAGTACAGTATCAGATTTTCTACAGGTATCGTCTACATTTGATTCGCACTTGACAGACATGAAAGTTGTTTGCTGAACATACATAGCATATACCAGACAAAAGTTTTGTAGCCCTGCATTGCTCAAACAGCCTCTTAACTTCTCAAGCCATAGCCTCAAGTTCATGTTCTTTACCTTCCCAGCAGATATACTTCCTTCGCAAACTGACATCCCAACTGTCTTCTCCTTTGACTTGTCTTGTACTTGTAGTCTTGTACTACCTTACATGTATCTCCAAAGTGAGATTGTAATCTCATGTCGTCACCTATCATCTCATTGTTATTCTGTCACTCTCACCGCTCTGTCCCTGTAAGCAGGACTCCCCCAGTATCAGTCTTACCCATTTATGGTACAATTTGTCATTAAGCCACTGCTTTTCATTTCAAATTGCTTCCCTATCCTGAACAAGAAGTCCTTGTCCTTCTGGCTTGTACAGGCACTGTAGCTACCTAAGCATTTTGTTTGAGTAAAGGTTCATACCTTGTAGCTTCTTCAGAAAAGCCTGCAGCAGCAATCCTTGCTGTTCTTTGAAGTACTTACTACCATCTGTTCAAGCCCTGAATGAAACGGTATACTGGAATTGGAGACATCTGAAAACATAATTTTAAATACTGAAATTTGCTTATAAAATATCTGCTTTATTTTGGTTTTCATCTGTGAGGAAAATAATACTTGAAAAGATGGAGGTTATAATGACAATTCCTGTATTACAAATGTCTCTCAGCTTTTGTAAATGAAGCAATTCAAATGGTAGTGACATAACTCCAAGATTTTTCTATGGGTAAAATTCTAATAATTTAGGATGCATGTTGAGATCTTTGAATGAAAGGTGCTAACGAAACTCCAGCTACTTTGATGCTAGTTAATTAAATGTTCTTGCCCAATTAGGCTTTTTAACCCTCCGTCAGATTGTTTTGAGCAAAGTTGACCAGGCACTGCATACAAAGCCATCTGTTGACCCAGCAGATGAATATGCTAAATACTGTGTGGAGATTCTAGGAATTCCTGCCACCCCAGGTATGTCAGTATGGAGCTTTTAAACAGCATGTCAAAGTAGTTTCATCAAAAATGCTTTTCTTTCCCAGTAATGCTTGGCATACAAAAAAAAACGGAGTTTTGTTTATAAAAGAATCTATTTTATGAAGCTGAAATAATTACTTTGAAACCTGGGGGAATGTTAATGATATCTTCTGAAGGAAGATTAGGGTAAATATAAAACTTAACCTTTTGCAGGTTATTTTTTCAAGTGACATGATGTGAATACCACTTTAGATGTTCTGTCACATCTGTGTTGGATGTGCAACTAGACTAAAATGGGAAACTGAGTTTCCTTTGTAGTCAACAGAATATGGCCAGTACTTTCAGGCATACTCAGGCTCTTTATGTTAGAAGTTTCAGAGTAGTTGATAAAAATTCCTTATTAATTTATTCTTAAAATTGAAGTACTGGATACATCAAATAAATAACTGCATTTGATTTAAATAGATCAATGTTAAATCTACTTTTTAAGGAACAAACATGCCAGCTACTTTTGGACATCTGGCAGGTGGTTATGGTGGTCAGTACTATGGATACCTGTGGAGTGAAGTGTTTTCCATGGACATTTTTTATAGCTGCTTTAAGCAAGAAGGAATAATGAATCCAAAGGTAGGTGATGAATACTTTTTCTTAAAGGCTTTTGTTGCACTTTGTCTCTGAAACCATATTTTTTGCAGTCAGGATCATAGAATCATAGAACAGTTTGGGTTGAAGGGACCTTAAAAGATAATCTTGTTCCAACCCCCGTGCCATGGACAGGGACACCTTCCACTAGACCAGGGTGCTCAAAGACCCATCCAACCTGGCCTTAGACACTACCAGGAAGGGGCCATCAACATCTTCTCCGGGCAACCTGCACCAGGGCCTCATCACCCTCATAGACACATCTGCCTGCCTAGGGGATGCTTTAGCCTTCAGGTAACTCTACGTAGAGAGAGCTGCCTGCCTCCTTCCATTTTCAGAAAGTGGTGGTTTCATTCAGGAGGGGGATCTGAGCTCTGGGGTTAGGATGGGTCCATCACACCTGAACCAGAGCCTGAAGACCTGGAGAAGGCAGGCTCAGCTGTGTCCTGTGCTCTGTGTCCCTCCATTGCTTGACCCTAGGCAGTGTTACACCCACAGTATGTGATGGGCAACCAGAGAACACATCTTATACATGCACTCCAAAATTAAATATTCGGAGCAGGGGGGCCGATTCCCCCCCCTCGCCCTGCTGGCCACTCTGCTTTTGATGCAGCCCAGGATATGGTTGGCTTTCTGGGCTGTGAGTGTGCACTGCTGGGTCATGTTGAGCTTTTCGTCAGCCAACACCCTGAAGACCACCTCCTCAGGGCTGCTATCAATCCATTCTCCACCCAGCCTATATTTGTGCTTAGGATTGCCCCAACCCAGGTGCAGGACCTTGCACTTGGCCTTGCTGAACTTCATGAGGTTCGCACAGGCCCACCTCTCAAGCCTGTCAAGGTCCTTCTGGATGGCATCCCTTCCTTCCAGTGTGTCGACTGCACCACACCATATGATCCATAGGTATGACACCTCAAGTACTTCTTCTGTACCTGTCAAGTTAAGATCAATTAAAAAAAGTGTATAAATAACTTAATTTAGAAAATCATCTATAAATTTCCAAAAGCACTTGGATTTTAATATAATTCTTACATAGTCATATATTTAATATTATATTCTGACACTTTAAAGACATTGTGTTGCATTGACTAATGCCTTCCTCTTTTAATTTTAGACTGAAAAAACATATTCGTCCATTGCAAGAGTAGAGGCATATTATTCTGCTGTGAAAGCTGTATGATAATGGTGCTCTATTTCCATTACCTCGTGTGGTACTTCTGTGTAGCTATTATTTAGAAAACTGAATTTATTTTGAGATTTCTCTTTCACAGCACAGCATAACTCGCAAATTTTTTTCTCTTTAGTTTCTCTCCCAAGTGGCTTTTGCAGTTCAAATTATTGGCAAGTTCTGGATTTACTGGCTTTTTTCTCCTTGTGTAATTCTCCAGACTCTTCTGCCTCCAGCAGAAAGAAAGGATAGCTAGTGGTGTGATTAGTAGTCCTGCCAATTCTGGCAACCTTTTTGATTTTTCAGAGATTATAGTATTAGACTTGTGATTGAGATGCTGCAGTTCTATCATGGGGAAAGACCTTTCAGTTTTCCTGATCCTCTTATCTGTCTTCTGGATACAGCAGCCGGCACTAGTTCTTCCCTTCAGTAAATGTATACAAGACAGAAGTAAATGAGAGAGTAGAAAGTGCTTCACTTAGCTGTTCCTCTCCTGGAATTTGCCTGGATTCCTCCGTTTCCTCATCATAGCAACCAGAACTTCTACAACTGTCCCTGCCTCTAAAGGGTGGAGAAAGAAAACGAGATTAGACTTTGACCTGTACAAAGAGAGGAGTCCAAAGAGGAGATGGGGTAAGGGCTAGAAAACTGAGGCAGTGGTTAGGCCAGTAAAACTCAAAGAGGTTTTATGAAGAAAAGCAGCAAACTGAATAGTTTGAGAGAAGACATAACGAAAGGTTTGGAGGTCAAGATTGATTTTGAAGTGCTAGAGGTACATGTGAGAATACGCACACCTGCTTATGCAATGAGAATACTGTCACTCATAAATAAGAGCAGGAGAGAAGTAATGGCAAGTTAAATCAGAGAATAAAATAACTTTTTAATAAAATGCTGTTCATATGGATCTTGAAAATGGCACTTGGGGAAGGGTCATACTTATGGGGTTTTTTGACTGTTAGCAGTTGGGAGAGATGGATAAGGGTGCTGGTGCCAGACTTGTGGGACTTCATGTCACCTCTCTGTTCTGGCAAATGCCTAGCCCCCCCAGTGTCATCACAGACCTTTTTTCTGTTAGCTTTACTCCCCTACTCTCAAAACTCTTTTCTGAGTGATTGTATAGTCAAAACCCTAAGGTATAGTTTGCCAGAATTGCTCTGTGACCTTTGCTTCTCCTGAGGGATAAAAGCGTCTTTTATTCTGACATTCTGTGGGACTTTTATTTTCTTTGTCTGTGTATGGGAAGCTTTGAGAATAAATTAATCACGCTGGGAGTGAATATTTGCTATGGTTCGCCCAAAGGGAACTAGTGCCTCTTTTAAGGTGAAGCCTGCTGCCCAGGCTAAGTGAGGAAGAAAAATGATTATTTGTGTGTGCATGTGTCACTTGCTTTCTAGCATATGTGTGCACACGCACACTTCTCTTGAATGCTGATGTAACTTCTGGGGTAGCTCTGTGGAGATTCCCCCCCTCTTTGGAACAATGCTATCTTCTCAAATTGGTTGTCTTTTAACCTGTTTTCCTTATTTGCATTCCATGTAAGTGTAGTAGTTCTGTCGGATGGGACAAACAACCTCTTATAGACAAATACTAGATAGCAGTGTGATTTTTGTAGTTACTCATATTACTTTACTTCTAGATTTAGACTACTCCTCAGAACAGCAGGAAAGGAAAACAGTTATGCTATTATGACTAGGGCTTTTAGAATTTTGGCTTACCTCTTCCTGTCAGAATAAAACCTCTCTTCCTGTTTTGAGCAACAGTTAGAGAAACTGGTTTCAGAGACTATATCTGTAAAAATTCTTCAGCAAATACTTAACTCTAACTTAATTGGTTGTCACACTCCTCAATTATTGCACATTATTTGAAATAACCTCTGGTCTCTGTAGGACTGAGCAATGTGCTGGCTCTGGAGAAACAGCAGCAAAGACTCAAATCTACTCAAATGACACTTTTAAACTATGAGGAACGGTATTTTCATTTGCTGCTGATGTTCAGGAAACTAACACAAACAGTGAAGAATAAGCAATACTTCAGTGAATTTTTTTTTTTATATTTTCGTTTTTTCCAGATGTAGTTCAGACAATGCAATTGGTAAAGCAATTAAGTCATGGAAGTCCATCAGTTAAAAAGACCCATGCTTGTTTTTGCAGTAGAGTTATCAGGAAGCAGTGTGGTCCTGTAATCTCATAGTTTTGACATGTAGAGAAGTATATATGTGTATATACAGTGACTAAAAGGAAGAACATTGTTTTCTTCGATAGCAGAAGCATCTGGGACATCTGCATGCAAAATAATATTTAAGAAAGTCCTTATTACTTATGTTGTCTCAGAGGCTTGGTTCATTCTTTTTAAAGGAATCCATTCCTTCTGAAGTAATAATGTTTCTTCCTGAAAATAAAACCAGACTTAAGTCTCTGGTACTTTAAGTTACTTCAGTAGGTGAGTTAGATGTCTTTGTATATATTATATATACTAATATGCATATAATATGTGTATATGTGCCTTATCATTCCTCAATGCTATTTCTATCTGTCTTTGAACTATCATCACTGTTCTCCAAACACAAATTCAAGAAAGAGAAGTCATCAATTAAGAGAGAAGGGATGTTAGATTCCCTCTTTGTGCCAGTCATTCATGGCGATAATCCATCACTGAAGATTATGTGGAGATTGTGCATGTGTTATGCTTTGTAGACTGTCTTCCAGACAAGTTGAGGCTGTAATTTCCAAAACAGTGTAAAAACACAAGAAAAATTGTTTCTTCAAGAATAGGTTAAATTTCTGCTGTTTGGAGTTCTTCCTGCACATCTAAATTATGGTTGTGGTGGATCCTGATTTGGCATTAAGAAAATCTGGAAGGAGGGAAGGTGTTTAATCATGAGCAGATTTTTAAATACGCAAGAAATATGCAAAAGAGGCAGTTCACAAGATAAGACATACTGACATTCTGCTTTACCTTTTATCAGGCTGGGATGAAATACAGAAACCTCATTTTGAAACCTGGAGGATCTTTGGATGGGATGGATATGCTGCAAAATTTCTTGGAACGTAAACCAAGTCAGAGAGCTTTCCTACTGAGTAAGGGGTTATGTGTTCAGTAAAATTATGGATCCTTTGTAATGGTATATAAGTATGGAATGAGCTGGAAATGTCAGAAATGTGATTTTTCAAGAAATTGCATAGGACAACAAAATTCAACACATAATGGAAAAAATTATGAGATGTGCAGAAGCTGAGGAATTTGGATGGTAATTTTTTTTTAATGTGATGAAGTTATGCTAATGAGTGTGGGGAGCTGATGCCATGTTTCTGTTTTAATAGGCGCACTTAAACTATGTGAACCAGTTTTAAAAATGGAGGGGAAAAAAGGACACTACCAGCAATAAAAGAAACAGATTCATTCTTATTCGGTATTCTGCTGTTGTATTGATGGATCACCAGTGTATTTGATGGAGAGGAAGTGTGTTTGATTTCATCATGGTTTGGGTTCAGTCTAGCTTCCTGACAAATAAGAATCTGCCCCAGACAGCTTTATAGCAGACATACTTGTATGATACTTTCAGAATTCATTGTGATGCATGTTAAATTTTTGTATCATTTACAAACTTATACAGTAGAACTAAAAAGAAAAAAAAACAACCTACCATTTGAGCTACTGTTTTCCTCCCTTCATTGAGGAAAACCAGCCAAAATCTATGACTTGGCAGTCCTTCCACCGCTCTTTCTTTTTTGTTAATGATCACAAATCAGGTCTTCATTTTCCAAATCATATCAACACCGACACTGAAAAGTTATACTTGAGCAATTATAATGATTACAATTGCTTTGTGAAGTATTTTGGGATACGTATAAGGAAGGAAGGGAAGATGTTGGTCCCAGTGGGAATGGTAAAAGTCAATCCAAGATTTTCCTATTCCTTTTCAGTGTGGCATGTGGAAGTGCTACAAAAAAGCTGCATAGATTTAATTATTTCAGCTGTGGGAGTGTGAAAGTAATTGAGGAATTATTCTGCAGTTTTCCTGCAAGATCAGGAAAAAGAAGTCTTACAAGCCAACTCTGCACCACCCAAATAAGACTGCTAATCCAAGTGCACTTTTCTTGTCTTTAGATATCATACCTTACTTTGGTTTTGGCATTACAACATACATATCAATAAACTTTAAATTTGGTTGCTAGCTAATATATTTTAGACATTTGAACCGTAGCTATAAACATGTTTGGTTTTGGTTTGTTTGGTTTTTTTGGTTTTTTTTTGTTCAACTGCAAAGTAAGAAAATGTGCCTGGTCAACTCAAAACAGTTCCTCTCTCTAGCAAATGAAAACTGAAAGCATTCACTTTGGGTCAAATCTTTGTGCTTCAGAAGGCAAAAACGCATAATTGTGAAAGTGCAATTGAAACTTGATTTCTGTGTGTTTTTCTTTTAAAGCATTTAAACTGGGGAAAAAAAAGGAGCTTTATTAGTTTCTGAAATGGAAAATTTGACAGGACTTAATTTTGAACGACACTAGTTGCAGATGTGAGGAAACATAAATATTTATAGCCAAAATATATTAAATGTGTAGTCTTACCAGACTACATAATTATGTCAATTCTAACTCAGAGTCAGTTACAGTTTTAGACCCCAGTTCTGCTGGGTTGTGAAAATGCAGTAAATGAAAGTCACATATATGATACCATCTTGAACAGTATTCAGAATAGCTATAAAGGAAAGCTGAGGAAACTGAAGGATGCAAGATTATCCTAAAAACCTGTGAATGTTGCCTAGATTAATTTCCCTTACATTCTGACCAGATATGGAAGTATTTTTGCTTTCTTTTTAAGTCTTTAAATTCTTATGATCCTATCTTATAAAAGTTTTATTCTTATCACACTAACGATAGCTCCAGTGAACTAAAATGTTGTAAAAAACATACAAAGTTATACTTTCCAAAAATGAATCTGCAGATCTAAGCAATGGAACCTTTATTAAGAAGCAAAATGCAGTTTTTATTACACAGCTGGTAGGCAGATTTCCACATGAGGGAGACCTTTCTCTGCATAAACCAGCAGTTTCAGATCAAGATAGAGAATTGCAAATGTAGTAATTATAAACAAAAATATGTGATGATAAAAAGTTATGTGATCATTTAAAAGTTAGGTTTAGGACAGTACTGATGCTAATGATAATTTAATTTACTTGCTTATTTTCCTGTTCTTTACAATGTGTGCGGTACACAGTTTATAGTAACTAAGGTACTGAAGTGGAGGAGAATATCTGCTATTACATGTATGTGAAAATCCCTACATGACTGTACAGTTACGTTAGCATCAGCTGAATATCCATGTGAGTAGAGAGAAGAAAAATCTAAACCACATTGTGACACAAATGAAAGTGTTACATTCTATACCTATCCCAAAGAATAGTATTTTTTGTAATTTGTTTTTGTAGAATCCAATTCCCTCAGTCTGCATCAGGCAATAATTAAGGCAGATCATCTTATGGCTAAAACTGCACTCCACACAGAAGACTAATGGGTATATTCTGAAGTAATTCTGAAACATCTTAATGTGGTAACACACCAATCTCTTCTGCTAATTTTTATAATGGCTTCATGGAGCCTTCTGAATCAAATTGGGGTTGGACTAGGTGACCTTTAAAGGTCCCTTCCAACTCAAACTATCCTATGATTCTGTGAAATTCTTATTCACATTTCTTATTGTGAAGACATAATCTTGGAATGGAAAAGATAACCTGGACAAAGACATCTTTTCTGGTTTTGCAGCTTTCCATCATAGGGATAAAACTTTGTATGTGTAGGAAACAACTTATTCTGACACTATTCCAAGGCTGTGTCTTAAAGTCCCCCAAGAAAAAAGGAGCACTTCTTCTTTGGAAACACGAGTCAATTGCCTTGACACAGCACAGAAACAATCACATACATTCAAACATGCCAAGAGGTAGGTGTCTGGCAAAACCTAGCATATTCTAGAGTTGTTAGACCCATGCTTCCACTGAATTAAATTTCGAAACAGAGAAAGCCTGTGTTTATTCCAACCCAACTTTAAGTATTCATTGTAATAAATAAAAAAGCAACTTGCAATCTTAGTCTGTAACGAACAGCTGCCTTTTAAAGTTAGTAATGTATCTTCTCAGAATTTCATTGTATTTAGGATTATTTTTTTTCCTCTGTGGGAAATTCACATTGGACTTTGGCTGACTTGACAACAAAATCTTCATATGAAAGGGAAAGGGTAAAACGGGAGACTCAGGAGAGATTGGGGGTAACCACTCAGTAAGTGGATAATAGGCAATGCCTTTCTCATTCTGCTGCTTTACTGCAAAAGATAGAATGGGTTGGCCAGGTGGCTGGGTCACAAGATGGCTAGGTGATGGCCTCAGCAGCCCCTGCTGCTAGTTGTCTGACATAGGTCCAGCATATAGACTGTGTGGATTGCTTGCAAGTCTCATGGTCAAACCTAAATGGTAAAAGCAGTCTGAAGAAAACATTTAAACTTTGCTCTCTGAGCTGTGGTGGCTGTCAGTTGTTACGCTGGCTTAATAGAGAGCATTAAGACACAGGGAGTTCGTGTTTGTAGAGATAGGCGGAGTGTTTACTGTCACTTGAGCCTGTAATACTACTACAGTTGGTTTTCCTATGCAAAAAGTTCTGATGTGTGTTATTGATACAACAACATTGCAGAAAACAAAAACTTCCTCATTTTAATCCATAATCACGGTCAGTCAGCTGCTGACCTTGTTTGACAAACAACTTTGTTAAGCCCTGTTACAACAGATAATCAGGCAGCAACTAATTCCAATGGCTGGAGTCATTTGGTGTGGGAGAAGTAAAATTACTGCAACAAGAAGTGAATCACAAGGTCAAGATCTCAGCTTCCTCTCTGAAAAATGGAACAATTTCCAAATACACTTTCAGAGGTAGTGGGGGGTATTTGAGTTAAATGGAGACTTCCTGGAGGGGTTTTCCAGAAGTGTAGAGCTGGTTGCATAGGAAATGGTTACTGATAGGGATTAGAGAGGGTGGACATCAGGAGGTTATGTGGTAGTCAAAGGAAAAGGAAGGAAAGCAGTGGGTGGATCAGTGAAGTTGGAGGAGTGAACGTCAGTCAGATAGCAGGAAAAAGACAGTAGTGTAATGCATACTGATTTATGAAAGGCTACTGGACGCTTTTCACTGTTTATGAGTTAGAAACAAGACATGCTTGTCTATGAATAGCTTTCTTATCTTTTTATTTGTGTGCCAAAGAACAGAAGATTATGCACCAGCTTGTTGCTTCAATAATTGTGCTTGTTCCTGACATCTGCAGATTAATTTTTGTTTCACCTCTATTTTCTTCATGAATATATTTTAAATAGTAGTTTCCCATGGTGGAAGGAAAAAAGTGCAAAGTTGCAGGGGAAGTTCTGTTTGTGAGGCCTATGCTGGAAATTCTGTATAGCTAATCATCATTAGCCATTATAAAAAGAGTATATGGTGCAAAAGACATGGTACCAAACAGCAAACAATCTATTTTTGACCTAATTAGGATAAAGACAAATTAATTAAATGAATGGGAAGTTAGTGGTTGCCTAGAAACCAATAATCCATGACCTAATTTTGTTCAGTATTGATTAACAGAGAGTGGACCCAACCACTAGTTGCTTGCACTGTGCTCCTGATGAAATAAAAAGGCCAAAGATATCAGTGCTAAGAGAACCAATGAATAAAATTGTAGGAAGAAAAATTGCGAATGAGAAGTGGTATGTCTTTAAAATTAAATGGTCCAAAATCCCACAATTTCACAACTTAAAAATTCTGACTAAGAACCAATCTTCACCAGTAAAAACAGTGATTAAAACTAAACGAAACAGAAATGGGGCTCAGGAGTAGGAAATAGTTATAAAATGAGGAATTGTAAAGTGTTGAAAATTAAGAAGGTGGCTGATTGTCAAGAAAAAAAAAACATGGATGAAAGGATTATACCCAATAATATATATAACTTAATGTTTTAAGAACTAATAAATCACATTAGTGTTACAGACCCTTTAGTAGATGGAAATGCTAATACTGCAAATGACAAAAAAGACAATTTTTAATTACTGTTTCTCTTGTGTATTTAGAAAGAAGCAATGTGATGTAATCATATCATATGAGAACAATGGGGTACTTCCCAGTCCATTATTAAGTGG